TAATTTTGTTTAGATTTGTCATGCATTGTTTTGTAAACCGCTTACTTACTATTCATATTTGAACACCTTGTTTTGGATTTTAAACCTCCTTCATAATTGTTAAAGTTTCTTTTTGTGAAATCTCGTTTCTCTATTGGTTCTTACACGATTTCATTGCATAGTCTGTTGGTCCGGCTCTTAATTACGAGATTCAAATTTTGGGCTGTGACACGAACAATTCACACCCTTCTTATAAGAAATGCTTCATTCCCAACTCCAACCGCTATTGGATCTGTCATGACCGAATTTTAAGTATTTATGGTTATTTTAGAGGTTTCGACAAATTGAGCTGCGATGAAAAAATAAATTTTGCTTGGTTTAGAAGACATACAACACCTATGTGAGAAATTCAAAGTTATTTACAAAAGGAAAAAAAAAAGACATGGATACAAAATAATTAAAAATGAACAACAAAAATTATACAACCAATTGATGTCTCAAGTCCAATACAACTAACATACACTCCGGGTCGACACCCCTATGTGATAGTAGAACTCCCAAGCATATCCCCACCTTAAACAGTACTTGAACTAGAAAAGGAGAAAGTGATCACTATAAAAATATACTTAATAATAAACTTACTTGGAGGCTCTCATCGCTTCCTTCTTCAACTAGGTTTCCATGACTTTCCTTTAGTCTATAGGAAGTTTGGGCTTACCCTTTACTGTGCTCTAAGCTACCGTGTAGATCTCGATGTTCTAATTGATTCCTCATCAATCATCAACCTTTGTTGTCCCTAGTGTCTCCTAGAGATTCATGCCAAAAATAAAAAAGTCGCTTTGGTTGAGTGTTTAAGGTGTGTTCCTGCTATGTACATAAAGTTTCTCCACGAGACTTCGAATCTCTCGGACGTCGAAAAGTTTATTTCTTTTGTACTAGCCAAATGCCACCGCTAAAAGATATTGTCCTCTTTGGCCCGTTACCTCACGATCTCATAGAGGTATTCTGTCATGATTGAATTTTAAGTATTAATCGTTATTTTAAAAGTTTCGACAAATCGAGTTGCGACGAAAAAATAAATTTTGCACAGTTTAAAAGACATACAACACCGATGTCAGAAACTAAAATTTATACAACTAATCGATGTGCCAGGTCGAATACAACTAACATACACTCCGGTTCGACACCCCTCTGTGATTGTTAAGCTCCTAAGCATCTCCCCATCTTGAACTAGAAAAGGAGAAAGTGGTAAGTGTAAAAATATACTTAGTAACGAACCTACATGCATTGTGCCAAAGTCAACAATTTCTGGGCTAATACAAATAATTTGTTGGAGTAGTTCAATCGATTAGAGCGTGTGACTGTTAACCATAAGGTTGGAGGTTCATCAAGCCTTCTTTTAAGCAATGTGAATAAATCCTTCCATTTAAGCATGTGGATACAAAATTGGACAATATCATATCGATATGGAGGTTTGTGATTCCTAACATTGTACATTGTCTTAATCAAGCATCCTTAATAATAATTTTGAGTTCTTTTTAGGGGTAGCTTCGAGTACAAAAACATAATGTAAAAAATATTTCCACATAAAGCAGTTACGTCATGCATATTGTAGAGACTCTAGGTCCCTAGAAAACTAGGGTCGTTACATATTATCTACCCCTAAACTTTCTATAACCTAGAGAAAAACTCGTAAAAACTTGCTCAATCAAGGATTCGATTAGACCCTACAAGTAGGTTACTTATTTAGTTGCACTTGATATTACTTTTGCTTTTTGGGTGACCTCTAATTGTTGGTTAACGAGAGATATAAGGTCACAAAGGAGGGTCGTCTTGAGCCATCATTTCTATGTATTTTGAGTTGTTGTCCTTAGTTTTCGAATCTCGTTTCCTAGTTCCCGTTTTGTAATAAACTTGAAACAACACTTTCATTTGTAAATATTTTTTAATTTCTTTTAAATGCTTGGTATTTGTAAATTTTTTCATTTTTTTTTGTTGTCATGTGTCATGAACCATGATTTGAAGTCTTGAAAATTGAGTTATTACAATTTTACTTTGAAGTTTTTAAAATTGAGTTATTACAGTTGATAAGGATCACAGTATTCTAAATGTTTCAACTGGACCTATTACACGATCAAAAGCCAAGAAGATTCAACAAGCATTCATTATTCATCTACAAAATTGGATACGCTCAGTTCAACCATCATTTCATGTGTTACAAGCTGATTCGATTGAAGAAGAACCATTTGAAGCTTCAGAAGTGAATATTTCTACCGTTGAAGTAGCATAAGGATAACAGTGTTCCTAAGAAACTTGATATAGATGTCAATATCCTATAGTATAGGATAGATATTAAAAGTGGTAGTGTTTGAAAGAAAACTTTATTACTTTGAAGTATGTAAAGATGAAATTAAAGTACCTGTAAACAAAAAAATTGAGTTAAAGACCATAAAAGTTTAAAACATGTATACTTAAATTAATTGGTGAATGACATAAGTGTCGTTAATGGAAGATGAGCTTTGTTAGTATTGAGATGTAGAAAACTTTCATACCTTAATAAGGCTTGAAAACTATATAAAAAAAAAAAAAAATAATAATAATAATAATAAGTAATACAACCGCAATTATGGAAGTTGTGAGATGATTTAAAAGTATCGAGCCACAATTTGGATGAGGCATTATGATCATGGTCAAAATTTTAGAGGTATATGGAGAGGGAATACAGTATAAGATTGTCAATGTACCTTAAATTTAAGAAACCATGATTTAAGATGAACTTGGGCGGGGGACACATGAGGATTAGAGTGAGACATTGTCTCTAAATCAACTAGAAGTTTTGTGGTAATCCTCCTTAAGGTATACGAATGCACTCAGGAAGATCAACATAAACAAATTGTTGTAGAAAATTACCAATCAATTTTTCCTAGCAATGTCAACTTGGTTAAAAGGTATTATTATAGTNGACCGGCACATAGGGGGTCGCACCCCGCTTTGTGGATGTATGGTCCCGTGTGAGGGTCGTCAGTTAACCTCCACGGATGATGTTCAGAGAGAGAGTCACGTATTCGGATCCAGCCATACGATCCCCTTAGATTTGCTTATGAGGTCGCGCCTCACCTCAGGACGCTGATCATTTCACTGCATAAGATGGGCAAGCCTCTTATGATGCATAAAAGAGTTGTAGCTTAGATCACCCTGCATAGAAACCCGAGAAAGACCGTGGTTACCTACCAAGATAAGGATGCGAAAAGAGCCTACAAGTAGGCTACTTACTGAGTATTCTTTTATACTCATTCCTTTCTACTCTTTTTTTTT